TCGGGGAGGACGGGGGGTGCCATAGCAAATAGACGGGTGATAAACCAGGGCGGACGGGGGGTGCCATAGCAAATAGATGGGTGATGAACCAGGCGCTCTAGGAAATAGATTGGTTTTGAATTGGGTGCACAACCATTGTTCTTCTCATCCTGCATTGCAAGAGAGCGCTGGCAGGTGCACCATGGGACGGGAGGGTGAAGAGAACATACCTGCATCTGGTTCATGTTCACAAAAATGTCCTGCCCTTGAGTCGGCCGTGTCCCTACCTTCGAAACAACCTCACATCACTGGTATCATTCATGCACAATGTCTATGATTAATAGAGCCTATTGTACAATGTTTTGTAACATGTCTTGTCATTGCACAATTTACACAATGTGTTTTGATAAATTAACTGCCTAAGCTTCCGTATACGGTAATATTTGTGTTACAGTCACGCTGTGACAGGGGGCCGGAAGCTAAGGTGGGCCGGAAGCTAAGGTAAATGTCACGAGTTTTATTTTTGCACAACTCAGATACAATAGAACAGAGGATGTGACAGAGAATATATTATTAAACAATACACTGCAGAATGTTCTAAATGTTGCGCCGCTTGTGTAATGAGTTTATGGGGGAAGAAGGCATGAAGTCATCACCAATGTCATCCAAGTCATCCAAGTCATCTGTGAACTCCGCATTCTGACCATACCTATATTCATCCGCTAACACGATCTCCTCGATAGCATCCATCAGCTCCTCATCTTCAATTTCGCCATACTCCAGGTCACTCTCACAATCACCCTCTCCTGTCTCCTTCCAGACTCTCGTCATCATCCTCACCCCGAAACGACGATCGCGCCTGATTATAAGCGGCTTGAACCAAAGCTTCGTCAGAGGGTCCCCAACTCGCAATCATAGGCCACGCGCACGGAATGTTTTGAACCTTTTTCTTCCAGATGACGCAGATGTCGAGAAGTTCATCTGCGCGAGATCGAAGGTGGAAAAACATCACTGGATCTGCGACTGTGAAGTAATATTAGATACTGTTAATAACATTGCACGCTGACGCACCTGCTTTATGCAAGGCAGTTTGCGTACTGTCCCACTCTGCTAACATCCATTCTTGAATGACGGCCCTCTCCCGCGTCAGTCGAGCCTCCTCCTCATTGCACCGGTCTACTTCAAGTTGCAACCGGATACCATTCCTGACCGTGTCATCCGATAGCCACGCTGGAGGGTTCAAAGTGTCGTCATCCAGCCCAACGTCTTGCCAGATGTCGTCATCAACGTCGAGCTGGAAGATGCCATCGCGCGGGATGATATGAGGTGGAACAGCAGAACGGGGTGCTCGCCGCTGTTGTATAAGAGACCGTAGTTGAGAGCACAAACCGTTGTAGGTAGTAATTAATTTGAGGATGCCAGGCTCTCGGCGTTTGATTGAGTGTTCGGTATTCGCATGAAGCTTACGCTCAGCTGGAGAATTATGAGATGCATCACTGTAAACAAACTATCAACGCACCATTGACCGTGGCTCTGTACGATCTCTCAAGTCTCTCAAGTTCAAATTTTCGTTGACGAAGGCGATCACGGATGCGAGTCTTGATTGCGAGCGCATTCAAGCGAACTGTAAGGTAAGTATCCTTCTTCATCTTCTCCAGGTTGACCTTGTCCTCCGTTCCAAGTGCCGCTCGACGACGTCGGAGAGTGTCAGAGGTTTTTTTATACCGGGACCGAGCATCTGCAAGCTGCAGACTGACTTCCCCAATGTTAGGGACACGGACACCATGGAGTTGCATCTCGAGTTCGTGTATGGAGGCCTCCTGAGTTTGTAGCGTCTTCTCTAGTGCTAGGATGATAGTGATAACCTCCGCTGCCTTGTTCCTAGATTGTCCTACATGGCGTTCAGTTAAACAGTAGGCACACTCAATTATCTACATACGTGGTGTGGGTCGCGTCTGGTGATCAACCTGGGCCTTCCACTCTACACGGAGGGCATTCTCGTCCAACTCCAAGGCGTGCAAACGGTCCAGCGCATCATTCTTCTTCGATTGACAGTGGATCCAACGCCGATGGAGCCAGTGTCCGAATCCTTGCAACGATTTTGAGTCTAAGTGGCGAATTTGAGTATCGAGGACAAAAAGTCGCTGATTAAACTTCGCCGAAGAGTGAGATAAATAGACGGATTAGAAAAAAGAATACGCACCCCTGAAACACGCAAGGAAGGGATGAGAGGCTTGAGGAAACTCCATAACCGCTCGCATCCCTCGCCATCAGACAAGCCGAATCCCTCGCGCTTCCTAGGGTGGTAAACAATCTGACACGCCCACTGGTGACCATAGGCATGGAACACAGCTACAGCAAATGCGATGCGAGATAGAATGGAATCATCCATGAAGTTCCACTTGCGACAGCTCCGTTCGAGCTGGCATCCGATGTCGTACAAAAGCCCGATTGTCATCTGAGTGGGGATGTGTTTGAACAACCGGTCCAGGAGAGCAAGCGCATAATGTTGCTTTTCGCCCGCAGATGTCAGGTTCGCAATCCATAGGACACGATCATGTCTGCAAACCAGTGCCATGAGGCCAGTATCGGTAAAGAAACTGAGTACTCGCCTTCTCCCTCTTTTCGTCGGCAGCAATGAAGGAGTCGCCACATCCATTCAAGACAGATACTGGTATGCGCATGCCCTCCTCATAGCCATCTTCATCAGGTTCCGCCCTCGAGGTCCTTGCTTGTCGTCTGTCTCTGCGACACCTTTCAACAAAATCTTCCATTGCTTTCAAATCGTCCGTCGGTACAAAGAAGGATGGTGTCGGGTTGGGAGGATCGCTACCAGCAGCACCGCGAGGATTTGCAGAGCGTTTCTGTGTAAAGCACGCGTCAATGCAAACGATAACATCTGGCCTACAAATGATTAACTGATGTAGTAGCATAGTAATAAATCACATACATAGGAAGAGAACCTCTCGCTCCGTTTCGCCAATCGTTCCCTCCAAAACAGAGTGGGCACCGCGAGCGCAGATACTCACTAGGTTGGTCCACGCAGGCACCATCTTTCCGGGAACCAACCACGAGTGTAGCGATGTGATTCTGAGCCAATACGGTCAAGACCTGGTACCAGTGGAACGCATTGCTGAAGCGACGCCGTAAGTTATTCTGTAGGAAGGTTGAGTATGGATATGCAACCACGAGAACATAAATGTCGACCTTAAGCCTCAACTTATATTTCATTCCGTCAAGAAAAGTCTCCAGCGCATCACACCACGCCGTTTGATTGGGGGACTGACGAAGAAAAAGAAGGCGGACGAACTCGAGAAGTCGTAAGTCCACTGCCAGGGAGGGTGCCAGGGACGCGCATGGAAAAAGCCCGCGATGAAGAAGCTGAAGCGGGGCAGGTGAACAAGGGCAGGCGATGATGGTGATTTCCTCGAAAGCTGTAATATACATGAGATTAATGTTAGAAGAGAAAAAAATGATAACACACCATCAAAAAACACGCATGCAACTTTGATGTTATGAGTTCTGCACCCAGTCCCGCACTCCCCATCAGTCCGATGACGTATGGCTGGCATGTTGGCATGATGTAGCGATACAGTCTCTTGAAGGTATGACAGATAGGGCACTATCATGGCCGGAATTATATCATCTGACCACCTGTGCCACTGATTAGCCCTTTTTTGGGAGCTGGTGAGACGACGGGGAGAAGCGTCAATAGAAAAATGTATTGAGTCGCTGAAGGGAAACACAGGTCCATCATCCCTCTGTCTGGGTTCCGTCCTACGTATGGGTGATGAACGACGCGGCCTTTGCTGTGCTAGACGTTGTCGTCCTGGCAGAACTAAGATGGGTGGTGGGCCAGGAAGATAGAGGTCGAGTTTTTTTGTCTCGCGGGGACGTTTCCATCTATTGACCATCCAAGGTTCGCAAATGATAGCAGTCGGCTGATGTATCGACGGTGGTGAAGAATGGTGGGTTGTTGCCTTATGACGTCGAGGTTTTGGACGGCGGACTGCCATAGCGTAATACCTTAAGACTCGAAGTCAACAAGGCAGGAAACAGTGACACGAAGTCAACAAGGGAGGAAACAGTGACACGAAGTCAACTAGGGAACTCAGCCCCCATCTATTGACCATCCAAGGTTCGCAAATGATAGCAGTCGGCTGATGTATCGACGGTGGTGAAGAATGGTGGGTTGTTGCCTTATGACGTCGAGGTTTTGGACGGCGGGACTGCCATAGCGTAATACCTTAAGACTCGAAGTCAACAAGGCAGGAAACAGTGACACGAAGTCAACAAGGGAGGAAACAGTGACACGAAGTCAACTAGGGAACTCAGCCCACGGAGGCGCAGTCTGGGGAAGTTTGATTGTAGTGACCGATGGTGGCGGACGTTGATGGACAAAGTAGGATCACTAGTGAAAAATCAAAATAATCACATTGGGCTGAGAAATCACGAAGCTTAATTCAATTTATTCCAGACTACACCAAAATACTTCGGGATCGTTCAATGGCGCTTAACGATAGGGCCAACTCGAAGATCTTGAAAGCAGATCGAGTCTGATTTGAATGCGGATAAATTGTGGTAAGTGTGTTGGTGAGTCCAAATGTGTTGTTACTCGGATCCTCACGTGGTTATACTATGTTGTTCCAGAAGAAAGGGTGAGCCTTGCTGTCAGAGTAATGTGAAGAACGCAAAGTGAACTCACCGCCCCATCATCGTGATGAGTCTCTTGCTCAATGTCTGAAACATGTACGCAGTGAGTAGGTATCTTGATCTCGTAAAGCCAAAGCTCGTAAATCCAAAGAGGAAAATAAATGTTACAGATCGTAATGCCGGAGTAAGATCATAGTCCGCTGATGGTAACCATACAAAACCGGATAATGGAGCACGAAGGAACACAACAGCATGGATTTGATTGTAAGGTAACGAGAATGGACAACAGAAAATATGTCAGGACAACTATATGGAATCATGATTGCATGGGAAGCGAATGGGGTATGATTGGGGGCCTGCCGAAATGATCAAAAAATGTCTGCACATAAAATGCCGTCGCCACACGCTTGACTTCCCAAGATTTTGTATCTATGAAGTTGTCTGATGTCAGCGGGGGGTCGTAAGAAGAGGCGGCAACGCCATCCCAATCGCAAAGCAGTAGGCGAAAATTCTCCAAGTAAGGAAGACAGCCCTGCAGGGTGTTTATCCCACAACCCGTAGTGTTCCGACGGAAACGGCTCTGACCACATCACTAGACCAGCGTCGCCCGGGAAGATGCCATGGAGGAGTTGCTCGCGACCAGCTGGATCATCTTTCCATTCTCTCCGTGCCAAGTGACGGTCAAGATCCCTCAACTCGTATCGAAAGCCGAGTTCAAACAGCTCCCATGTGACCTTCTGAGCTAGAAGTGCGGAAGGATTAGTAAGACTGGCGACAGAAAATTGTTCACCCCGAAATTCCACAACTCCATCTGGGGAAAATACATCGCCCTGAGATTCTAGCACATCATCGCCGAACTCCCGCATCACCTGCTTCCGCTTCTCGGTAGCTGTAAGACCCTTCTGTCAGGATCTTTCTCCCTATGAGATTGTGGGTTGGCAGAAGGCACACTACCAAGGAAGTCGCGCCATAGTTGAGGAGTGGGATAAGTGCGTGGAGGATCGTGGTCGACTCGGCCTACCCACAGCGCACAACATGCAAGCCAATTGGCAAGGTATACTTGCAGACGTTCAGCCAGTTTGGGGCCGATAAGAAGAGCAGGCTCAGGGAATCTATACCCCCGATCAATAACGTAGGGCGTGTGAATGCGAGACTGGTCCTTGATTGCAATTTTCATCGCAGCTTCCCAATGGAGGTTCGGCGGCGGAAGTAAGGAGTGTCAGGGTCTTGCCACTTGTTCCTGGATTCGCCTGACTGAGCAGGACGTGCAGGGCGAGCTTCAATGGAGTCTAAAATGATGAGTATCCAACGTGCACAAAA